GACCTTCGCAAGCCGCACATGCATCGGGGCAACAAACTATTGCACGACCTTACTAATCTGGCGGTGGACGCTAACTCAAACGAACACCAGTTCGAGTTAGGTTGGCGCTATCCTCCCTCCTTTCTTTAGCCCTACCCACAAAAATTCCCTATTACCGCCGATCCCAAATTATACGCTGAATTATCCTTTGTTGCCCGAGTGAGTTCGCATATCTAGTCCTGGCCAAAAACCGCGCAAAACTGTTTCAGTTATTCGTCGTGTCCTCAGAGACCTGGTGAAATAATTCATTATGGGCATCGTTATAATTGCATAAAAGTGTAAGTGGTTAGGTTACTGAGGGAGCTTGCAGTATACTGCCAGATCTGGCGAATCAGTTAGCGGCAGCTTGCTCCACAAAGTGCCTGCACACGATTCCTCCCTGCCAACTACCTACCGTGATTTACATTATCCAGGTGCTCTGTACTTATCGTTTTGTAACTTTTAGTGTATGAAAGTCTCTCTCTGTTCATGAAGTTGACATTCATCCTGTTCTATTTTCTTGCTAAACGTGTCCTTCCTTGTCTTTTTTAGACTTATGTGCTCTATTGTGAGCACTGGTATCGATGGGGTCGGTTGGAGAATTTCATTCAGGTGCTTGGGTATCACCCAGAGTTCCTGGAATCTTTCCTGAAAACTCATGAACACCTCTTTCACGGGGATTTACCCATGCCCTATCCGGACAGACACTACTTGGCGATTCTGGTGAGTACGGTGACTTATTGCCGCTAGCAAGTTAGTTGTCAGCATTTTTAGCGCTGGATATTGTGAAATTTCTCTGAAGATTTTGAAATCCCTCTCACCATCTCACGCATTCATCGTGTAACTTAGGTTCATTCCATCATTTTCTGTCAGACAAGGCACCATCATCAGAAGTTCATTACCTTGGTGCATGTTTGTGCAGTTCCCTCCCACGGGCTGGTTGTTTTCGCGAGAACCGAGGGCATTTTGTGTCTCCTCCAAATAATTACTTCTTGTCAGGCTTTGTCGCAGCTCGGTGCCAGCTAG